AACATGTGTCTGATGCTTTAGTGTCTCACCTTTCTTCTTAGGGTATCCTTCAGCAGCTCACTTTTCTATATACTCCTGAGCAAAATGGAGTTTGTTAAAAGAAAAAATAGGAGTCTGATAGGGATGGTACGTTTGTATACTTAGAGGTATGGTGCTACCAAAATCTTATTGGTATTTTGCTGTTTTGACTTCTACCTTTTTGTGCAATCATATACCGAGTCGTGTTCTTCAGCATAAGGCTCCCTTACTGGTCTTTTTTCCTGAGCAGACACTTTTTTCGGTCCCTCCTCGTGTTTTTGACTACACATGTTTTGTTCAGGATCNTCAGCATAAGGCTCCCTTACTGGTCTTTTTTCCTGAGCAGACACTTTTTTCGGTCCCTCCTCGTGTTTTTGACTACACATGTTTTGTTCAGGATTGGTCTCCTACTTGTCATAAGCTTGATGATAAAACGATTCGTTGTGTTTTTGTGGGCTATTGTCATCAGTTTGATCCTGTCAGGCGACGTATGTATCACAGTCTAGATGTTACCTTCCTTGAACATATTCCTTATTTTTCTTCCAGTCCTGTGTCTGCCCTTCCAGTTGATGATACTCCTTTTGATTTTTCATTACCACAGGAGTCAGAGCCACTGGTCACTATCACTATATAGTCATCGGTCTCTCTTCCTCAAGAACCACTCATCCCTTTCAGTACAGAGTCACCAGTCTCTCTTCTTTGCAGGTTTATGTTCGTCGTCTTTGCTCTCATCCCCCTACTGATGTCCCCTCTGCCTCAAGTAGTGCAGGTAATACTTCTCAGTTCGTTGAGCATATTGATGCACCTGTTGTTAGTATTGATGAGATTGCAGGTACGAAGTCAGTTGTTTTACCTGATGATACATTATTAGTGGAGGATGATGATTTAGGGCATTGTTATCCACAACATGATCGTCGTAGTTCGTTATGGTTGGACCGTAAGGATTTTATATCCGATCTCTGCTTATGTTTCTTATGGTGATCTGTCTCTTACATTTCGAGCTTATAGTATGGCCTTATCAGATACGCTGGTTCCTTGCTCTATTTCAGTGGCTATGCGAGAGCCCCAATGGGTTCTTGCCATGCAGACAGAGATGGACGCTCTTCAGCGTAATCATATGTGAGATCTTGTCTCTTTACCTTCAGGGGTGAAGCCTGTTAGCTGTCGCTGGGTTTACACCCTGAAGTTTCTTGCGGATGGTACTATTGATCGTCATAAGGCTAGGCTTGTAGTAAAGGATTTTAGCCAGGTACCAGGTCGTGATTTTGGTGCTACTTTTGCCCCTGTAGCAAAATTGACTACTGTTAGACTGATTATTTCTCTGGCTGTGAAATATTCTTGGCCTCTTCATCCGTTGGATGTGAAGAATGCATTTCTTCACGGTGATCTGGAAGAGATTATTTATATGGATGCATCACCATAATTTCGTGGTAAAGGGGAGTATGCTGGAAGAAAGGTTTGTCGACTATGTAAGTCTCTTTATAGACTAAAACAGTCACCACGAGCATGGTTTTCTCGATTTAGTGATGTAGTTGTACGTTTAGGCTTCACCAGATGTCATTCTGATCATACCTGCTTTATTCGACGGAATACTTTCGGACAGTGTGTCATCTTTTTGGTATATGTTGATGATATTATTATTACTAAAGATGATGTTTCTAGGATTGTGCAGGTTAAGGTAGACCTTGGAAAGGCCTTCGATGTGAAGGATCTTGAATTTTTGTGATACTTTCTTGGGATTGAAGTTGCCCGTAGCAGTAGAGGTATTGTTCTTTCTTAGAAAAAGTATATTTTGGATCTTCTCTCAGATACTGGGATGCTGGGGTGCAAACCGGCATTATCACCCATGATTATAAACCTGAAGCTTACTGTTGAAGGTGAGGAGTTGGGAGATCCGACTGTTTATCAGAGATTGGTAGATAGACTTATCTACCTAGCCAATACTAGGCCAGACATTTCATTTGCTGTCAGGCGAGTTAGTCAGTTCATGCACTAACCATGTCAGCCTCATCTTGATTCAATTTGTCANTTGGGATTGAAGTTGCCCGTAGCAGTAGAGGTATTGTTCTTTCTTAGAAAAAGTATATTTTGGATCTTCTCTCAGATACTGGGATGCTGGGGTGCAAACCGGCATTATCACCCATGATTATAAACCTGAAGCTTACTGTTGAAGGTGAGGAGTTGGGAGATCCGACTGTTTATCAGAGATTGGTAGATAGACTTATCTACCTAGCCAATACTAGGCCAGACATTTCATTTGCTGTCAGGCNC